ATTTCCTATTAAGGTAATGAACAGAAGTTGGAGTTTCATGAAATAAAACAAAATGAAAAGAAAAAAAATAATGTATGATATGTAAAACTTTCATATGTTGTTCTGAGCAACGAACACATTAAAGGCATTGGGAACTTCAGTATCATCATCATTGGTTGAAGATTGATCTTCTTGTATGCATTGACAAGAGCAGCCTGGTTCATGAAATGGAGGCTTATTGGCTGGGGAGAAAAAACTTCTTAAAATTGTTGATATTTTAAATATATTAAAAATGATATCTCATGTAATGTATGCAAACGTATTACATCTACATATGCTAATTTCATTTGATGAACTAGTTACTAGGAAACATCGAACAACACAATTGCAAAGGGAGTGTGTTAAGTTCTTTTAATTCTTACACTTCTTTGTACCTCGTGTATTATCTGCTTCTTCTATAGCTGCTTCTGCATTGCTGCCACCACAGGAGAAAGCTTGAGGCTCACAAAGATTATTCTGAGCAATGAATTCATCAAAAGCATTTTGAACTTCAGCATTATCATCACTTGTTGAATATTCATCTTCTTGTGTGCATTCATATAAGCAGCTGGATATTGAGATTGAGGTAGACATGCTGCATGACCAAAAACTTGTGAGATTTTATGGTCAAGATATATGCAACAGGATCACTCAAATAATCGTACTAACCCATTATGTTTTCATTCGGTGTCTTCAATAAATAGAAACATGAAACGTGAACAACCCAAGTTGGATAGATGATGGTTAAGAAATTCTAAAAAAACATGTCCTGTTCCTTTTGTATTATCCGAGGTTCTGAGATGGATTCAACATTGTTGCCATCATTTGGTAAAGTATGAGCTTCTTAAATAGTAATCCTCTCTGGAAGTGACTCAACTACAGTTTTAAATCTTCAACTTCCAAACCTATAGAATTCTCCAAGCCTGTCATGTTTGTATCCAAGCTTTGAAATTCTCTCAAGTTTGTTTTATAGCTGCATTCATATCCATTGTGAATAATGCTGGCACTTCAAATATACTTGATTGTGCTCTAATAGGTGACTCAGTAGCAAAACTTTCAATCTTTTGCTCCCTCTCTAATGCATGAGTTTCACAAGCTACATGATTCATCAATTACCCCAAAGTTATTGCTGATTAGGACGAAAAAGGTTGTTTTCTGTTAGTTGAGTGTAATGCAGTTTTCTCAATCAACCTAGTTAGTTTGAGTATAAGAAGGAATTGGAGTGAATGTAAACTTATTTACATAACAGAATATAATTTTGTGACTGAATAGGTTCCTTTTTTTATTTTTTATTTTTTAAGTTTGTTCTGTTTTTTTTTTCTTTGTACGTTTCGTCTGTTCTAGTATGTGTTTATGTTTGTTGAGTAAATGTAAGTATGAGAGAGAGAGAGAGGAGGAGGAGAAAGAGAGAAGAGATTAGAGAAAGTTTCGGAGTGAGAACTGTGTTATTGACTTAAGATTAAACTGATTACAGTGTCCCCCCAGCTCAGCAAATCTAACTTCTAACAGAAACTGAGCTGGCACGAAACAAACTCTTAACAGTTCAGAAACTATATCACAAAACACAGAGTTGTCTTTTGCAGTATATATAGAAAGGATACTGATGCAGAGTAAATCATATGTGTTTACTCTATTATAGGCATTACATTTAAGAGAATAAACTTTAATTTAATATATAAGAATGTATTCTACTTTTTTGCCCCTTTCTTTCATTCCCTATTTAGTACAGACGGCTTGTAATTCTTGATTTGTTGTTAAGATGGAAATTGTTATAGGATTCTTTGATGGACAACGATTAAAGTGCCACATTTTTTGTAAAAAATTATCTGAATGTCACATTTTGTAAATTTTTGATCAAAATGTCACGTTACCTAACTCGCTTACAACACCTGGTGAGTTAGGCGTTGTCACATTTAGATGGGAGAACATTATTTATAGAATAAAAAAAAAATAATATTGTAAAGACTCATGTGAGATTTTTGTCAATATAAAATAATAACAACAGGGATTTGAACTTGCAGCGCTTTCTAAAGAAAAATAAATCTGTCAAGAAGGCTGAAGGTTTTGGGTTGGCTTCAGACTTTTCTTCTAAGGAAGACAAGGATACCTTAAAGAACATGTATAGTCAAGCATTCAGTTTCTCTGAGAAAGTTAAGGAGAAGTTGAACAGTGCTGATGACTACCAAGCTTTCTTGAAGTGCCTTCATATTTTTTTCACCGGTGGAATAATAAATAGGAATGAATTGCAAAATTTGGTAACCGATTTACTTGGAAAGCATCCTGATCTTATGAAGGAATTCAATGATTTCCTGGAGCGTTGTGAAAATATTGATAGGTTCCTTGCTGGTGTCATGAGTAAAAAGTCACTAAGATCATCAAAGTTGGAGGACAAAGACAAAGACAAAGACAAAGACAAAGACAAAGAGCAGAAGCGTGAGATGGATGGAGCTAAAGAGAAGGAAAGATACAGGGAGAAGAAGTACATGGGAAAATCCATTCAAGAACTTGACCTCAGTGACTGTAAACGTTGCACTCCCAGCTACCGGCTTCTACCTGCTGATTATCCAATTCCTACAGCTAGTCAGAGATCTGAGCTTGGTGCTCAAGTATTGAATGATCACTGGGTATCTGTGAGTTCAGGAAGTGAGGATTACTCTTTCGAACATATGTGCAGGAATCAGTACGAAGAGAGCTTGTTCAGATGTGAAGATGACAGATTTGAGCTGGACATGTTATTAGAGTCTGTGAGTTCTGCAGCTAAACGTGCAGAGGAATTATATAATAACATGAATGAAAATAAGATCAATATGGAGACTCTGAACCGTATTGAAGATTACTTTACTGTTCAAAATTTAAGGTGCATTGAACGTCTATATGGTGACCATGGTCTTGACGTTATAGACATATTGCGTAAAAACCCAACTCGTGCGCTCCCTGTAATATTGACTCGACTGAAGCAGAAACAGGAGGAGTGGAGTCGGTGTCGTTCAGATTTCAATAAAGTTTGGGCTGAAATTTATTCTAAAATTCACTTAAAGTGAAGCAGCAGAAAGAGGATGATATTCTTAAGTCTACTATTGCAGCTGGAAACAAATTAGTTCGGTATTCATGTGATATGAGAGTATGAATGCAGCTGATGGTAGAGTAACTGAGGTAAAGAATGTTCACCGGACTAGTGTAGCAGCCAGTGATAAAGAAAATGGATTATTTTTTGGAAGCTTCACAAGCTTCCACAAGCAGCCAGTGATTTTTGTTTTTCTATTTATGTTTACTCACTTCAATTCTTTTTCATTACTGGTTTAATGAATTTTATTCAAGGTTAAAATAATAATAATTAAAATTGGTTCTTTTTCACTTCAATTCATTTTCACTTCGGTATACAGGGTTCTATTATTTTTGTCACTGGGTTCTATTATTTTTGTCACTTCAACCTTTGAACAAGAAAGAACAAACCCAAAAATAAAGTTTTTAGATCTATCTACAAATGTTATTATTTGTTTGTTTTATAAATCAATATGTAAAAAGTTCGAGTAATAAGGGACTCGATTATATTTAAGTGAAGTCTTAATTTTGAAAACGAAAAAACAGACATTATGAGAATATTGTTCCTTTGAGTAAGTTCACTCGACTCAACTCGAAATAATTGAAATTCAATGTATTTTTTAAATACTAAGAGTTTCTGGAAGAAAAAAAACCTTTGTTTTATAAGGAACAATGGACTATCAAGCCTCTCAGTTGGGGCGGTTATATTTATTATATTTTAGACGTACCACCCTTACTATCTAATTATTTATCAAAGTCGAAATCAGCAATAGTTTTTTTTTTCTTTCTATTTTTTATTATTGATATAACAATAACCAATTATTATTGATTTCAAATTGATATATTATCTCATGTTGTAGAATACAACCAATCAAATAATAAGAGAAAAGCATGGAAATGATAAGCCTAAAATAATAATAATAATAAATATAACTTTCTCCGCTTCTCAATTCGCTATAACCTTTTTTCTCCATCCAAACCAAGTTAGTACTCTCAATTTGCTGTTGATTTTAGAGTACATAAAACATCTGGTGTGATTATGCAAGTCAAAATTTTGTTCCGACACACGTTATGCCATTTGTTTGATATGCCCTCGGTTACAATACTATTATAAGAAGTAAATTATTTTGAGATGATCAACATTATATTCATTTCGCTAATTACCATTTTCAAATAAAATACTTACATATTCATCGTAGTTTAATGAGGCTACTGTCCTCCAAAGGTCGCCCAAAACTTTTCATCTCATAATAATAATAATAATAATAATAATAATAATAATAATAATTTGACAGTTGAATATAATATTTTCAATTATATGTTTTTGATTGAGAGTATGAATCGATGATAGAAATATGAATTATTTAAAATAAATAAAAATATATCGCTAAGCATATTTTTGAAAAAATGATAATTAATTAAAAAATATCATGATTCATGAAGAAGTAATTATAAGGTCTAAACAGTAACTTCATTCATCATAACCACAACTAACAAATATATACAGATTATAATTTATACATAATCGATACATTATTTTGCCGTGTGAAATTTTCCAAGCTCAATACTGTTAACACACAACCTAACCTACATAATGCAACATTAATGGTAAAAAATCTTTTTAACCTAAAACTTTAAGGCACTAGGTGATTTATATTAATAATTTTATATCTTTTTAACACTAAATACAGCATAAGCAGAACCAACCTAGATTCCACTCCAGGTCTGTATACTACATAGTTTGCGAAATTGACATCCTCCATGATTTTGGTTTTTCTGTTTACGTTTACTCACTTCAATTCTTTTTCATTACTGGTTTAATGAATTTTATTCAAGGTTAAAAAAAAATTAAAATTGGTTCTTTTTCACTTCGGTGTACCGAGTTCTATCATTTTTGTCACTTCAACCTTTGAACTGGAAAGAACAAACCCAAAAATAATATGATTCAACCTCAAACCCGTTTGAATGTAGCGGATAATAGTGGAGCCCGAGAATTGATGTGTATTCGAATTATAGGAGCTAATAATAAACGATATGCTTCTATTGGTGATATTGTTGTTGTTGTAGTAAAGGAAGCAGTACCAAATACGTCCTTAGAAAGATCAGAAGTGATCGAAGCTGTAAATGTACGTACTTGTAAAGAACTCAAACGCAGTAACGGTATAATAATACACTATGATGATAATACTGCGGTTGTTATTGACCAAAAGGGAAATCCAAAAAGAACTCGAATTTTTTGTGCAATCACCCGTGAATTGAGACATTTAAATTTCACTAAAATAGTTTCCCTAGCACTCGAAGTATTATAAAAAAAAAGACCATGATAGATAGATATATCTATATTAATATTATTTAATATTTCATAAAAACCCAATAAAAAAATGGAATAAGAAAAAAACATAGAGAAAAGAGCATGTTGATTATATGAAAAGTCAAGGGCAACCATAATTTTCGTTTATCATGGGTAAGGATATCATCGCTGACATAATAACCTTTATACGAAACGCTGACATGAATAAAAAAGGAACTGTTCAAATACCATTTACTAACATTGCCGAAAACACTATGAAAATACTTTTACGGGAGGGTTTTGTTGAAAACGTCAGAAAACATAGGGAAAGCAATAAATATTTTTTAGTTTTAACTCTACGATATAGAAGAAATAGGAAAGGGTCATATAAAATTATTTTAAATTTAAAACGAATCAGTACACCCGGTCTACGAATCTATTTGAATTATCAATGAATTCCTAGAATTTTGGGAGGGATGGGGATTGTAATTTTTTCTACTTCTAGGGGTGTAATGACAGATCAAGAGGCTCGATTAGAAAGAATCGACGGAGAAATTTTATGTTATATATGGTAATTTTTCTGATATACGAATTATACGAGAATCTTCTATTCAATTTTTTTAAGGAGGGGGGTACAATTTGAAATTCAAAATGGAAAAATGTAATAAATAAACCTTATTTTCTTTCAATAAATAGATTTGCGATTAAGTAAAGGAATGATAAATATGAAAATAAGGGCCTTTGCTCGTAAAATTTGTGAAAAATGTCGATTGATCCACAGGCGGGGACACATTATAGTAATTTGTTCAAATCCGAGACATAAACAAAGACAAGGATAATATTTCCACAAAAGAGGAATTTTTATTTTTAAAAACCAGATGCACAAATAAAATAAATTTAGATTAAAGAAAAAAAATAGTATAAATTTCAATATGAAATCATAAAAAATATGGCTAAACCTATACCAAAAATTGGTTCGCGTAAAAATGGACGTATTGGTTCGCGTAAGCATGCTCGTAAAATACCAAAGGGGGTTATTCATGTTCAAGCTAGTTTCATCAGTACCACTGTGACTGTTACAGATGTTCGGGGTCAGGTGATTTCTTGGTCCTCCGCCGGTACTCTTGGGTTCAAAGGTACTCGGAGGGGAACACCATTTGCAACTCAAATCGCAGCAGGAAATGCTATTAGAATGGTTGCGGATCAAGGCATGCAACAAGCAGAAGTCATGATAAAAGGTCCCGGTCTCTGAAGAGATGCGACATTAAGAGCTATTCGTAGAAGTGGTATTGTCTTAAATTTTATACGGAATGTAACCCCTATGCCACATAATGGATGTAGATCTCCAAAAAAAAGACGTGTGTAAAAATAAAAATATTTGTAATTAGATACATAATTACGAATATTTTTACACATTAACTATGAAATAAATATATTAAATTGTATCTAATTACAAATTTTTCTAAGTTTATCTCAAATTTCTTCCGTCATTTTGCCTCATAGCATTGTGATTAAGCAGTGGCATATATTGAAAGAGGAAGAAAAAATATATTCCATGCACTTATGCCCCAATTGTAAGATCTATAGTATGTTCAAGTTGCTAATACTTGGTATTCTACGCATGACAAAATGCTTATGACAAAAGCCAACTAAATTTTAAGCAAAGATTATCAAAGTTAAAGCCCTCACTGAAGAAGGCAACAAGCCAACAGCCAAAAAGGAGGTTTATATTTACAACAAAAAAGTTTCTCTTAAAACCTATTTTAAAGTTGGGGAATGTTATATTTACAAACTTTTTGTTTACAAACTCTTACAAATTACATTATGTTATGTCTTATAGGTCATACATAATGCATATAAGACAAAAGTCTGACCAGTCATACTTAATATAATTTGTAAGGAAAAAAGTTTGTAAATATAACATTCCCCTTTACAGTTATTAAACTTTTTTTTTTTTTTGGAACACAAAGTTATTAAACTTTAAAATGCAAGTAGTTCGCAATACACATATTCACGTATCTCTCTCAATAAATCTTTCCAATACTCCAGTAGTTATTGATTCTATTGGAATTATTCTGTACCCACTGCTTCAACATAAGCCGTTTTGGGAGTTCAATAACATTACAATTTTCCAACTGATAAAAAAAAAAAATTCCAACTTTGGAGAAATATATAACATAATACAACATAACAATTGGTTGCCATTAGCAAGAACTGAATCCATTGAATCCAAATTTCGTTATTGTATCCATTTGAATGGGAAAAAGGGCTTATACCATACTCTCCAAATTTGAAAAATACGATGTTCTTTCTAACATGTTGCATGGGGGAAGAAAGTGTGAGAAGGTGAGATGAAAGAGAAGGAAGGTTGCTGTGTCAAATCCCTATAAATAAGGGAACATGGTGGTGTGAGAGTAGAGAGAGAAGAAAAATTAGGCACCATAGATTTGGAGTTAATCTAATGGTGGCAAAATAAATTGAAAGAGATTGTAAATATAACCCCACTCATTCTTAGAATAATTTGCATATATGAATAGTAAGAATTTTTCTCTACAGAAAAAACACAACGTTGAATTTTTTTTTTAATTCATATTAGTGGCTGTCTTAAGTCTTAACCATGGCAAGTAAAATAAACCAGTAGATTCCAATTAGTTTCAAATTGCAAGTTCTTCCTCACACATAACTTCCATGTAGGGATTTAAATGGATCAAATGGTCTATTAAGTGTTTATAATTCGGTCTAAGTAAGTTAGGTTTGACCTAGCTAATATATTTAATAAAATAAAATGGGATAGGATATTGTGACAACCAAGTCATGTTACACCCATGTGACAACCAGTCAATCTCACCGTTAAATTAGGTTTTTGATCTAACGATCCAGATTTAATCCTTATATACACCCTCATTTCCCCTTCTCTCTCCCCTTTCTCTCTGATCATACTCTTTCTTTTCCCTTCTCTCTCATCACAATCTCTCTCTTCCCTTCTCTCTCATCATACAATCTACCACCGCCGCCGCTCACTGCATTGATCACAACATAACCCTTCCAAAAAACAAAACAAAACAAAATACAGGATAATAATTAGACACACAAATACAATGAAAATCATCCCAACTGGCTTTAGTGGCTTATACTGATTTGTTGAATGAATAATCAACAGAAGAATCAAAATTTGATGTGTTATCCTTTTTTTTTTGTTGAAAATAGATGCGTTGTCCTTTCAAATTGGTTTCCACCAATAATAGGCTGGTAGTATCATATTGCAATTTCCTGTGTGAAATTCATGGGGTTAATATCTTCCAAGTCTCTGATTCTTCAATGACATATCTGCATCATTGACAATGAATTGTAATCTTGGAGACATTATAATTAGGAGTAATCAACCAATTTGACAGACTAGAATCAACTGCATTTTCTGGCAATAGGGGTTTGGACTGAAGGACAATTGATTCGTTGCAAGGTGAAGAATTCAAGGGCACGCTTGTATTTTACTCTGGGGGAACATTCTCCTTCCTCCTGGGGCGGCGGCGGTGAATTAGAGAGGGCGACGCGGCGGCGGCGGTAGATTGTATGATGAGAGAGAAGGGAAGAGAGAGATTGTGATGAGAGAGAAGGGAAAAGAGAGAGTATGATCAGAGAGAAAAGGGAGAGAGAAGGGGAAGTGATGGTGTATATAAGGATTAAATCTGGATCGTTAGATCAAAAACCTAATTTAACAGTGAGATTGACTGGTTGTCACATGGGTGTAACATGACTTGGTTGTCACAATATCCTATCCCAAATAAAATAGGCTTGGACCTCAAAAAAACTTGTTTAGAAAACATTTCCTTTTACAAAGATTGACCTATACGTCAGTATATCATATTATTTAATTTAATTAAAATAAAATAAATAATTTTTTATATAATTTTAACTAATACAAATTTATTATATATATATATATATATATATATATATATTTTAACTTTGATAATTATTAAAGATTCGTAGGCTTAAACATGCTAATATACCTAGGTCATATATTTTGATTTTTAAATATAGACAAGACCAAACCTATAATGTAGAGTACACCAAATTAATAGGTCAAACCAAGTTCAAAATATTTTATATAAACTTAACGTATTTAGGCCAAAACCTAATCTGACGAGTGTTAGTCTTAATTTCTATTTAATTTAGTGGTAATTATCTTATGTTTTATGGGCTTAATTGTATTAAAGTGCAGGTAAAATTTGGGCCAAATTTAAAGAAGTAAGCCCAAGTTGGTAAAAAGAGGTAAAAAAAAGGAATTTTTACTTTTTACAAATTATTTTTCTTTTCATACACAGAAAAAGACACATGGCAATGAAAGATGAAAGAAGAAGATGAGATGGAAATTTGAACGCCGTTGGACGCTTTTTGATCTAAGGGACAACATCAATTTGAAGATTTAGTTTTTTTTTAAAAAAAAAAATAGTCTTTGTTTTGTAAAAAGGAGTGGAACTCAGAACTTAGTGGAAGTCAGATTTTCGTGTTGAAGAGAGAATTCAGTTTTTAGTTGTAATCAGTTTTTACATTTTGAGCGCTTTAGTTTTCTTTGTGAGTTTCTTGGGGATACATGCATTTTTCTTCTATTTATCAAAGGATCAATTCGAAATCAACAACAGTTATTTTTTTCTTCTATTTTTCTATTGTTGATTTCAAATTAATATAACGATAACTAATCAGATAATAAGAATAATAAGTCTAATATGATAGTAAATATAACTTTCTCCGCTTCACAATTCGTTATAATCTTTTTTTCTCCATCCTAACAAAATTAGTCTTCTCAATTTGCCGTTGATTTTAGAGTAAATAAAACAATCTGGTGTAATTATGCACGTCAAAATTTTGTTCCGGCATATGTTATGCCATTTGTTTGACATGCACTCTGTTACAACACTATTCTTAAGAAGTAAATAATTTTGAGATCTTCACCAAAAAAAAATTTATTTTGAGATGATCAACATTATAATCATTTCGCTAATTACCATTTTCAAATAAAATACTTACATATTCATCATAGTTTAATGAGGCTACTGTCCTCCAAAGGTCGCCCAAAACTTTTTACCTCATAATGATAATAATAATAATTTGACAGTTGAATATAATATTTTCAATTATATGTTTTTGATTGAGAGTATGAATCGACGATAGAAATATGAATTATTTAAAATAAATAAAAAAATATCACTAAACATATTTTTGAAAAAATTATAATTAATGAATGAATATTATGATCCATGAAGAAGTAATTATGAGGTCTAAACAGTAACTTCAGTCATCATAACCATAACTAACAAATATATACAAATTATAATTTATACATAATCGATACATTATTTTGCTGTGTGAAATTTTCCAAGCTCATACTGTTAACACCCACAACCTAACCTACGTAATGCAACATTAATGCTAAAGAACTGTTTTAATCCAAAACTTTAAGATATTAGGTGATATTACATTAATGATTTTATATCTTTCTAACATTAATCACTATACCACAAGTATATATTTAGAGGTAGGATCATTTGACACCAGTGTCAAATTTGAAATTTGACACCTCATATGAGAGCCATTAGATCCAAAAAGATCAACGGCTCTGATTTGTAAGCATGTGACACCATTGATCTTTTTCGATCTAACTGCTCTCAGATGAGGTTTCAAATTTCAAATTTGACACCGGTGTCAAAGGATCCAACCTCATGTATTTATCATAATACTTTTATTATTACATTTATTATATATTCTTATATAATTCAATTAAGTAATTCAACCAGCAAGTTCAACAAGTGATTCATAGATTGAGCGATCAACTTAGTATCTCAACCGAATTGATAATCAGTTTAATAACATTGGCTCACCTATTAACAAAATTCTTTTAATCACACGTAAACCCAACTAAATATGGGCTCTATACGTACCCAAAAAAAAAAATTAAAAAAAAGAATATGAGCTCTACATCTCGAGAATTGGTTGCCATAATAAGTCTTAAATGAAACTCCAAATGTGATGAACACATCTCTAAGACAATCTAAAACAAAGTGCTTTGTTTTAGATGTCATATTGGATTTATTTAGAAGGCCTAACTTATCACTTCATTAAAGGATAAAGTTCCTTTCTATACTTCACTCTTCAGTGGCAAAGCTACGTTGGGGTTAGCTAGTGCCTTGGTACTAGGTAATTTTCAAACTTTTTAGAATTTGTTGGCATAGGTAAAGGCTAAAATTTGGTAGT